GTGGCGCACACCTTTAATCCCAGCACTTGGGAGGCAGAGGCAGGCGGATTTCTGAGTTCGAGGCCAGCCTGGTCTACAGAGTGAGTTCCAGGACAGCCAGGGCTATACAGAGAAACCCTGTCTCAAAAAACAAAACAAACAAACAAACAAAAAAACAGAGCTGGGATGTAGCCTAGTGGTAGAGCATTTGCATAGCACACACTTGCCTATCCCTGTGCTCCATCCTCAGCAGTGAAAAAAAAGTATGTGTGTGTATTATTACACACACATACACACACACACAACTCATACATACACACACATATATAGTATACCATTCATAATATGTTATATATGGGGATATATATTTATGTAACACAAGTCTGATCTAGGTACAAAACGTTCCCAGGCAGAGACATCACGTGTACCTGGCCTCAAGCTCTCTACACCAGACTGCTTCACCAGCTTCCTGTGGCTTCTGCTCTGAGATGATTTCCTCTCCTCCGCCACCACCCCCTCTCTCACCAGCTTGATTACCTGGTAGACATGCTAACATTAACCCAACATGCCTGACTACCAGTCCTTCCTCATTGGACTCTGATGACAGAGACTCTGTCACTGTCCCCTGCCTTGCCTCTGTACTCCTGTGACCCCAAAAGGACCAGAGGAAGGTTTAATGTGTCCTGAAGCACACGGTGTGTGGTTTTGCTTTTTTCTCCTCTCTGAATGTACATGTAAGTAAGACCTGCTGGTCTGCTAGCTCAGAGTCATTGCAGCTGCTTGGGAGGCTGAGGTTTGAAAGTTCAAGGTCTGCATGGGCTACAGAGTTTTTTCAAGGCCAGCCTGTACTCTATGCTATACTGTGTCTTAGAATAGAAACAGAAAGCAGTCTGAGGATGAAGCTCAGGGAGCACTTGCCAATTTTCTAGGGAGACCCTGGGCTCCATCCTTACTACTAGGACAGGGGACAGTTTCTAGGGCTCCTCAAATCTGTCTTGTTTCATTCTCCAGCAGGGCACAAGGGCAGACAGATGGCTCATCAGTGTTTGCTCTTTGCTATGCTCTGCTTCCTGGGAGTCTCAAGGGCCCAGCATGTCTTCACCATAGAAAGCTCAAAGCCTGCAAGTTTGGGGTTGCAAGGGGTGATGGTTCAGTGGGTAGGGTGCTTGCTGTGCATGAGGACCAGAGTCTGATCTCACAGATCCCACATGAAAAAGCCAGGCATGGCAGCATGAATCCAATGCTGGGGAGGTGGAGACAGCAGGACCCCTGAGGCTAGACGGCCAGCAAACCTAGCCAAACTAGCAAGACCCTGAGGAATGAAACCTGAAGCTGACATCTGGACTCTATATACACACACATAGACTCACATATGACACACACACTCAGGCACACTTGCACACTCAGGCACACTCATAATGCACACACTCACGCTCATAGTGCACACACTCTCACACGGTACACACATAACACATACTCAGACACATTCACATTCAACACACACGCACACACATGAAGCACATAGCATACACACACACTAGAATACATATTCACACACATGGCATACAAACACACATCCAGACACACATTTACACACATGGCACACACACACTCACACACATGGCACACACACATAAAAACAAACAGGAAACACACAGGACATGCACACACACACACACATATAGACACACAGCAAATACACACATGCACAAACACTCGACAAATACACACAAACATACACGTTGCACACACAGTCATACTCATGACATGCACACTAATACACACACACTGCAACTTTGGCTTAGCTTTCAGTAGCTATCTGTCAGAAAGGGCAAAGTTGTCTGAGTCACTGGTGCTTTATCACAGACAAGTCCCCAAGAAGTAGTAAAGAGGTATGACACTAGAAAAGAAAATCAGTCGAAAGGTATAGGATCTTCTGACAAACTAAAGCATTTCTTTAAACAGTAATTCCCACTGACTGGGTGTAAGCCCTGCCCCACTGCTCACTGTCACGTGGGTCGACTGCAGAGTGGATAGAGTAAGCTCAATATTGACTCAGAGCCCTGTTTACAGCCAGTAATTCACTACTGCAGTCAGCAAATAATACAGTCAAACACAACCTGCTGCAACCATGTCACTACACTGCACAGTCAGAAGGAAGGTCCAGCAACATGCCACAGAGGGAATTCCAAGAGCCCTCATTGTTCACAAGCAGGCATGGAGGACAGAGCCTCTTGCGGCTCAGCTCCTGATTTGAACATTGTAGGCCACACTCACTCTACTATCTCATGTCATTCTAATTAACTGTCTTTAGAGAAAGTAAAAATGTCCCAGGAAGTCTGGCTACTTGTCCCGAGGATGAAAAGATTTTCAAAAGCTAAGGTAAGAGGTAACTGCCTGTAGAAAAAAGACTAAGAATCTCCCGGACAGTGTCTCATGTTGACAGGATCAACAGAAACCATTTTGCTAGTCTTATTTTACAAACCATTTAAAGATAATAGGAATTCTTCAAAAGTTCGCCTTCCATGTGTAAGCATAGGCAGGGATCTCCAAGCCCTCCTGTGCTCTACACACACCTAGCAAACATGCACTGCTTGTGGACATGTGATGTGGCCCTCAGGATACACTGAGCAGGTATGATGGAGATGGCTTGGACAGTAAAACTCATGCTTGCAAGCATGTGTGCCCAGGAGAGAGATATAGAGCCCACATGCAAAAAGCCAGGAATGCTGGCACATACTTGTAATGCCAGTGCTGGAGAAGAGACAGTGAAATCCTGGGGCTTACTAGCCAGCCAGCCTCACCTAGTATAAGTTTCTAGGTCAGAGATTCTGTCTCCATCAAAGGTGAAAGACACTGGAGGAACAAGGAGTCCTGAGGTTGTCCTCTGGTTTCCGCACATATGTGTGCTTGCAACTGTACACACACACACACACACACTCACACACACACTCTCACACACTCACACACAGACACACACACTTGCACACACTCACACACAGACACACACACTTGCACACACTCACACACACACAAAACCACACACCAGACTGGATGCAATGCAGAAGCAGTAGTCATGGGCTTGAGCCTTTGGTGTAAGGAGTGATGTATCTTATGCATCGGTTTTGGCTGGATTATCTTGAAGAATGCCGGGTTCTATGTTATCCTGAAGCCTCTGCAGAGGAGAGGCTGGTATGATGTGCTGTCCTTCTGTAAAGGCCTCTAGCAGCCAGGTTTACAGGACAAGCAGAGGCTCACTTTGTTCTGTGGCAGCAGGCTACCTACATATTGCTCTCAGTGACAACATACTTTAGGAAATAAGAATGAATTGATAGTGGAAACTAGCAAGCAAGGAGAATGTACATAAACAAGCTCCTGAGAGAGCATGCCGCGGTGCAGAAGAGTGACTTAGTCAGAAAAGAGCTTGTTCTGCAAGCACAAGAACAAGATCTGGGTTCCATCTTTAGAACCCACATAAAAAGCCCCTCCTGGCAGGCAGCACACTCTTAGGATCCCAGCAGTGGGGTGGCCCAGGCTGGAGGACCCATGGGACACAATGGCCACCCTGCCTAGCCAAATCTGGTGAATTCCAGGGATGTGAGAGACTCTGTCTCAATAAAAAGGGGTAGGGTATCAGAGGAAGGTACACTCAAGGTTTATGTCAGGCCTTCAAACAAAGGAACACGCATACCCTCACACGTGTGCACCTGGACACATGTGAATACACACATACACACAAAAGAAAGACATGCTGTGTATTAAGTATGACAGAGTCCTCAAAAACAAACCACTCCAAGGCAGTCTGGAGACACGTGGCGACCGACCACCAACCAGCACTTCTTCAGGACATGCTTCCTTAGGCTGGAGGCTCATGGCTGGAGCAGCTGAGGCCTCCATGAGATGAGCTGTGTGGAGGGGTGGAGAGCCATCCAATGCTCGCCCAGAGCTGCAACCTCCCAAGTATTCGTAATTTGCATAACGGAGAGGATGTGCTTTACCTTTCAGGTGCATTTCTGCACTGAAGGATTTTGATAGCCAGAGAGAATCTGTGCAAGCATATAAAGAAAGTACCACTTGTTGTCTTGGCTACTGTCTCTCTGCTCTTAGAAGACACGGAGGACCTTCCAGCTAGCTCCTGTCCTAGCAGGTTTAGGACCACCGAGGGGCATGTAACTGTGGCTGCTCAGCACCAGCTCTGCCTGAATCCTTTAGTCTTGTAAGAGATTTTATTTCATGCTGGGGAGGGGCAGGCTCTTCAGCAGTGAAGAAGCAAAGCAAACAGCAATCCCCTCCAGCTCTCTTAGACGCAGATGCTGACAGTTTTGTGTTTAGATCTCATGTGAGCTCCCTGCTAATGCCTGGAAAGTCCACTCTGGCTTACACATCAGGTGGCTGACACCAACCTGATATTTCCTGTACAGGATCCAAGCACTTGTTCTCGGCCTAAAAATGGGCACTTCTGATTTGCAGAAGAGATTCCTCCAAAAAGTACGGTCGTGTTTCAGACACAGAGACTTCTGACCCGTAAGGCTTTGGGAAAGCCCAAGGACAAGAGGCCATGTTCACAATGAGATGGTTTGGGAGGCAGAGCTCAGCAGCAGAATGTCTGCTTGGAATGCGTGAAGCCCCACGTTTGCAGAGTGGACCGAGAGAAAGGAATTAGAAACTTTAATAACACACTTGTAAAGTGGAAGGAAATGGGGGTAGGGGGTGCTGGTGCTGGCAGCCACCAGGTTAAACATACTCTAAGACCAGGGCTAGCAAAGTCCTGTGCAAACGTATTGGGAGGCCTACACGGATTATATGTGTAGGGTCCGGTGGGTCCAGAGAGTAACAAGAATTTATCTACAAGCGCCTGTCTGTCCCTATCTTTTAAAGAGGTGCTCACGGGCATTAACTGCAAGATAAGCACGAACCTCCGTAAAGCAAGTTAACCAGAGCCTGTCTTCCCTCTCTGAGTCAGGGCCAGACCCCTCTCTTGACTCTTGACTCCGCACTCCTTTGGGGCTAGCCTCACTTACTGTTGCTGGACTTGAGGTCACGGTGCAGGATGGGCACCACTGCCTCCTCGTGCAGGTACAGCATGCCGCGGGCGATCTGCACAGCCCAGTTGACCAGAACGTGCGGGGGGATGCGGCGCGCTCGGCGCGGGCCGGGCGCTCGAGGATCCGGTGCGGCAGCCGCCAGCGCGCGGTTGAGCGCCCCGCCGCGCGCGAACTCCAACACCAGGCAGAGGTGCGGCTGCCGCAGGCATACACCCCGCAGCTGGATGATGTTGGGGTGCCGCAGCATAGCGAAGAGTCGCGCCTCGCGCCGTACGCTCTCGACTGCCGCCGCCGCATCTTGCTCGGGGTCCCGGCGCGCCGCCTTCACCGCCACCTCCTGGCCCTGCCAGGTTGCGCGGTACACCTGGCCAAAGCCGCCGGCGCCGATCAGCTCCTTGAGCTCCAGACGCTCGAAGTCTACGTGCACAGGCGAGCAGGGTCGCGGCGGGGGCGGCGCGGGCGGTGGCACCGGGCCACACGGCGCCACGTAGCTGGCCGGAAAGATGCCCAGGCGCCGCTGCACTTGGCCGGCCCACCAGCCCTCGTCTCCTGATACCGCGGCGTCCTGGGACAGTACCTCCACTAGCTGACCGCGCCTCAGGCTCAGCTCGTCCTCACCGCGCGCTTCGTAGTCATAAAGCGCGGCCCACATCCCGGAGGAGGAGCTCCCCGAGTCGTCCTGGGCCGGGGACAGCGGCGTGTCAGCCGTGCCCTCGTCTACAGGTAACGCCATAGGGGCGATCGAGAGGTCTCTAGTGGATCAAGTGCGACAGCCACAATCTCAGCTTCCCCGGCCTCCAGCGATGCGTATCATCGGTCCAAGCTAACAGGGAAGGGTGCAGGGCTGGGGCGGGACTGCAGAGGTTACGACCTCTGCCCGGGGGCTCTGGCCTCTGCTCTGCCTCCAGTTTGGCTAGTTCTTCCCCGCAGCCTCTAGCGCAGACGACCGGTGCTGGTGCTGGACCTGCTTGGACTTACGCGCGCTCCCCTGCAGTTGCCCCCACGCCCAGCCCCTCCTCCTTGGCCACTCCGCCCTCCAGGTCCTTTCCCCTTGGCACCAGCTCTGGCCCCACCGGGTTCGTTACCCCTGGGTTCCACCCTCCACTAGTCCCGCCCTAGTGCCGGTCCCGCCCTCCAGGTTCTTTAACCCCTGGAATTCACCTCTGAGTCTAACCTGAACCTGAGTCTCCTGTGCCCGACACGCCCCCAGCAAATCCATTCCGCCAGGTTGGCGTTTCTGCCCCTGTAATTTTGCTTTCCCGAGATTCAGTCCTCCTTTCAAGTCTCTCTGGTTCCACCCCTGGTGCCCGCCCTTCCTTTCCAAGTTCATTCTCCAAGTTCATTGGTGCCTCTGGATCCACCCCTCCAGGTCACTATCCTCTCCTGGTGCCCTCCCTTTCCCAAGTTCGTTCTCCAAGTTCATTGGTGCTCCTGAATCCACACCTCTAGGTCCATTTACTTCGCGCTGAGGCAGTCTTCTTAGCCCCTCTGTCCCCTCTGAGTTCATTAGGAGAACCACCCTCTATTGATCTCCTGGATCTGCCCCGCCCGCTCCAAATCCATTACTCAAGGTCCGTTACTACCAGTCTTCTAAACCGCCGGGTCCCCTCGATCGCTCTTCAGGGCCCGCCCCCCGCTTTCTAGATCCATTCTGACCCCGCTCCCAGACTGTCAGCCTTTCACCTTCACGTGTGACCTATTCTGAGCCCGCCCTCCGGTGTCCCTACTATGCCTCAGGGCCAAGGACTGCCGCTTTTTCTTAGCCTTGAGGGCGGAGCAAGCCTGGGGCCTCTTGAAGTTTTCCAGAAAGTTAAAGAGATCCCGTTGAACGAAGATGGTTGGACTCCTCAGTGAAAAGAAGGAAGGGGTGAAGAGAAGAGGACTCCTGAGCTTCAGATGTCAAGTGACAGACCATCCCAGCAACAGATAGACGTTCGTATCCTGGAGCTCGGTTTCAGACAGGGACCTGGTGTGCTTAGTCTCATCGGGCTGCAAGCATGGAAAGTCCAGGTTACAGATGTGCAGGGAGCCATAGTCGCATAACCCCGGAAGCTGGTGTGTCACTGTGCCTACAACAGCGCTCCGCTCCGATGTCAGGGATCCCCAGGTCCCACCTACCTAGCTAGCCCTGTGCACCCTCAGGCTCCGATGTAGACTACCTTGGTATCACGTGTGAACTACAGATTGCCAGGGTGATGCAACTGATGAAGTTTTAAAAAAATAGAGAATGCAGTTACAAAAATCGTTCCAAGAAATCAGAACACAACGCATGCTAAGCCTGAGTGTCCTGGCCGGTGTAGAGTAGGATACTCCTAACATTAAAACATATAAGGAGGATTTGTTTTGTTTCTGCTCTTTCCCGTTTTGTTTGTTTGTTCGCAGTGTCTAAATTTGCTCATCTGTAGAATGGTAATGCCAGTGAGTGGTGCTTACGTCACGTGGTGGCTGTGAAGACCCAGGATGGTGTTGGCTAGATAATAATTCATACCAATATTAATATTCTTTTTTTTGAGGCAGGATTTTGTCGGGTAGCCTATGCTGACCTTGTACACACTTTAGAACACAGGTTTGCCTGGGACTCAAAACAGTGCTCTTCTCTCAGCCTCCTGAAGGCTGGGGTTATGAGTGTGCACCATCAGCCAAGCCTGGCACTCCCTGATAGAGCAAGCAGATGTCTGCCAGCACCCCTTTCCTTAGCGTATTTTCTAGTTTTTCTATTCTTATGACTATTCTTATAATTGTTACTGTGTGTTGGCAATTCCCCTAGGCCCCGCCCAACAGCTACATAGTAACCTACAAGGTGTGAGCCACGCCGGTATATAAGAAGGACTGCTCAGTTCATTCTTGTGCTCTCTCTCTCACTCACTCTTTCTCTCTCTCTCCCTCTCCCTCCCTCCCTCTCTCACCATCTTCTATTCTCTCTCTACCAAGCATGTTTCCTACTGCTCTCTCTCTCTCTCTCTCTCTCCTTCTCTGTCCCCCTTTCTCGGCCTCTACCCCTTTTACAGGCCCCCTTCCCACCCATAAACCTTCTTTATACTAGGTCTGCCCCATGCCTTGATTGTTCAGAAGGACACCCTTGCCTGCTCTCTCCTGATGCAGTATACCTGGGTTTATAAAACACAATAGTGATGTGTTCGGGGAGGGGGGGCACTGGAAGAGGACATCTGGTGTTGCCTTTCTCAGTTGTACACCTTTGAGATTAAAATCTCTCAATGAACCTAGGGCCAGCTTGGCAGTCAGCAAGCGCCTGGGATGCTCTCCTCCCACAGTATATTAGTGATACAGAGATGGCTACACCATGTTTTTTATTTGTCTCTCTCTTTTTTTTTTTAATTTGAATCCAAACCTATATCTTCAGGCTTTTGCAGCAAATGTTCTTACCCACTGAGCCATTTCTCCAGTTCTAACTTTTCTGTTTTTCTAATATTTACACTATGATTGCCTTTCGCTTCTGACAAGCAATAGGGATTTTCCCCTACAAGCAATGAAGTCAAGACTCATACGATTAAGTTTAATGTGAGTTGACTTGAAATAAAAGGCTTGTGAAAACTGTATTGGAACAATGATTTAAAAAAAAAATCGCCATGATAGAAGTCTGAGGGCATAGGCTTCTGAGAGAAGACTCAGAGGGTGTAGGCTGAGAAATGACTTCTCCCTCCTCCGCAGCCAGCTTCCACTTCTTTTTCTTGTCATGGGTCAATACAGCAAAGGGCTTCTCTGTCAAAGAGCCAGGGGCCTACAGAGGAAGAGGAGGGCATGCTGCCAGCGAAGGAGACAGCTTCACGTCTAAAACCTCACTTCTGTGGGTTTTGGAAGATGGTCCAAGCTGCTAAATTGGTTGCTGCTCTTCCAGAAGATGTGAGTTGGTTTCCCCCACACTCATGTGGTGGCTCTCAACTGCCTGTAGCACCAGTTCTAAGGGAATCTGATGCCCTCTAATGGCCTCTGTGGGTATTGCATGCACCTGGTGCACATATACTTGGGCAGATAGGCATGCGCATAAAATAATATTTTTAAAAATTAAAATACGCTTCTGTAATGTAAAAAGGGGTAATATTATGGGGGAAAACAAATAAACAAGAGATGAATTGGTCATGAAGGCACACACCTGTAATCTCAGCACTTGGGAGGTAGGAGCAGGAGGATCAGGAGTTCTAGGCTAGTATAGGCTACAAGCAGAAAGCCTGCCTCAAAATCACAAACCAAGAACTGAAGGGTGAGGAAATAGAGTGGAAGTTAACCTAGACTTGCCCTTAACTTTGGAATCTGAGAGTGTCAAGAAGGCACAAGGAAATAACTCTAAAGATAAAGGCAGGTCTAGAGAGTATAGATGTCTGTAAGACCGAGTCTCTATTGAATTCTGAGAGAGACCAAAAGCCAGAGAGAGCCAAGGAGTAAGAAAGGTATTTCCTCAAGCCCTGGGGCAGGAGGGAGTGTTTAAAATCTGGGAGGAAAATGGGCCAGTGAGATGGTTCAGAATAATAACCCGAGTTTAATCCACAGGGACCACATGGTAAAAGAAAAGGGAGCCCTCAAGTTGTCCTCTGACCTCCACAGTGTTCTTGGTGCATGTCCATATGTGCATGGACAGAGACGTACACACACACGCGCGCGCACACACACACACGCACACACACACACACCAAATGTAATTTAACATTTTGATCTGAAAAATATCCTAGGGATGGAAAACTATCTTCCCTGATGTTTACTTTTATCCACTCCTCCTCCCCTCTCATAATTCTATTCAGAAAATAGAATTGCAGGAAGATACGGTTGCGTGGGGTTGCCTTTGGAATTCAGAAACACTAGCTTGGATCCTACCTGAGGGTCAAGGGTCAAGAGTGTGTGTGCACACGTGTGTGTGTGTCTGTATGTATGTATGTATGATGTATATGTGTGTGCATGTGTGTATGTATGTGTGTATGTGTGTGTGCATGTGTGTATGTATGTTTGTACATGTGTGTTCATGTGTGTGTACATGTGTGTGCATGTGTACATGTGTGTATGTTGTATGTATATTTGTATGCGTACATGTGTGTATGTGTGTGTACATGTGTGTATGTGTATGTTGTATGTATATAATGTACATGTGTGTGCATGTGTATATGTATGTGTGTACATGTGTATGTATGTGAGTGTGTGTGTACAGGTGTGTATGTGTGTATATGCGTGTATATGTGTGTACATGTGTGTATGTATGTGAGTGAGTGTGTGTATACAGGTGAGTATCTGTGTGCATATGTATGTGTATGTATGTGTATATGTGTGTGTGTGTGTGTGTGTGTGTGTGTGTGTGTGTGTGTGAATGAGGGAACACAAATATCCAGAGGCATCTGGAAGAGTTCAGAGCAGAGAGAAAAGAAAACAGACTGGGCATGGCTAGAGATAGGGAACTGGGAGAATGGGAGAAAATAGTGAAGGTATCGAAAGATATAGAATAAGGTAGAGAATGATGGTCAGAGGGGTAGGAAGGGGAAGAGAGGGGGGGGAGGGAGGGAGGACATCCCACGGACAAATTATATAGATTACATAGAGGTCTAGCTAGGGGAGGAGGAGTTGGGACGGCTGGAATGCTGGGATGCTGGGATGCTGGGATGCTGGAATGCTGGTATAGACATTGATGTGTATGACAGGTATTTATGATGTTAGAGATCCCAGAGGGCAGCCTGGCTTTGATTTGCTGAGAGATTCCTCAGGTATACCAGTCAGAGAGCCATATGCCTCTTCTGCCAGAGGGCAGGGAAATGATGCCTTTCTGG